CCCCAAAACCCCAAAACCCCAAAACCCCAAAACCCCAAAACCCCAAAACCCCATTAGATATATAAAATATTGGAATAAAGGCCAGCCATGAGCAAGAAGTTTCTCATCTCTAAAGCTTCTGTAAAGCTACCGACAATGAAGAGGATTTGGTAAGGAAGGAGCTTATCTTCCATAGTCAAAAAGAATCAGCAGGAATATTCGAAAATTCGCCTATAAAGGATCGCAAGCCGAGCTATGGATCTTTTCTAATTCCCAAATCATACCACAAAAGGAAGGCTAAGAGGCCACGTAAATTGTCAAGAGTCTTCCTAAATAGAACTCTTGACAATAACTCTTCAGCAGACACTATACAAGTTGGCAAGGGTTATGATGAATTTTATGAAATGATCTACAAGTTTGTTCCTCAGAAAATTGATGCATTTAGAGCTAGAAATAAAAATAATCAAACCAAAATTTTCAACAATCACAAAAACAAACTTATGAGCATTAGAAAAGTCAGGAATCCGAGCCAAATCTTTGAAGAGTCTCTGAGAAATTATGATAATAGGTAAGTAAATCAATTCACCTTAGGAATCATAATGGTTCCATCGGGAGCGTCCTCAGACTTAGTCAAAAGCCCTCTATAATTGAATCACAGGATAAAATTAGAAACAATATGCATAACTTCAAGCAAAGAAGGGTAAATTTTTACTCATATTCAGATAGCTAGCAAGAGCCCTTCCATAGTCAAGGCGCTTGGGCGCAATAAATATCATCTTGATTTTACAGTAAAGAAATCTCCAAAAGAGGAGCCTGAGACTATCACTGATATAATATCTAAACTTACCAAAGATCTTATGAAGAATAGCAAGAGAGATAACTTGAACAATTTATTTAGTAAGTTTTGCTAGCTTAGACTAAAAGATTTGCCTTATGAGCAGAGAGGAACAATGATCCAAAGAAAAATCAGCTCGCTTACCAAAATTTACGAGGACTTCTACACAAATTTACCCAGTGCGATTAAATCAGACCTAAACGAGATCATAAGACACTTGCAGAGATGAGTGGAAGAGGAAACTTATGATTACGAAGACATTTGTCAGACCTTTGTGATAACTCCAGTAGGGACTATATTCAAGCCTCTTGCCAAAATGAGTAGCAAAAGCCACAAAATGATAGGTGAAGGCTTACTGATCTCTATCACAAATGAAATCACTAAGGCAGACTTCAGCCTTGGTATTGTAAGGAGAGGAATTATGCAAAGACTATACAAAGACGGTGAATTTTTCAGCGGAAATTGCCTTGACAAAGGCGTCAGACATGGCCAAGCCAAAGTTAAATACCCTAATGGAGATACCTATGAAGGAGAATACTTCAAAGATGAAAGAGCTGGTATTGCCAAAATGATATTCAACGACGGCTCAGAATATTTTGGTGAGTTCTCAGGCAATGAAATCTCTGGAAATGGAACCCTGATAGATTCCGAAGGAAACGAATTCACCACAAAAGTAATATTTTACAGTGATAGTTTAGCTATTTGAGAATGATAAATAAAGTCAACCTCAGAGGCCGATTCGAAGGCCGCTACTTATTCGGCCTTGGAAAAGCCAAATACAAAAATGGAAATGTTTACTCAGGCTACTTTAAAAAGAGTAAATAAAGATGGGAAAGGAGAAATGAAGTTCAAGATTAGCGAGAATCCTGAAGATCCAGATGACGTGGGAGACTATAATGGTATTATTATGTATTATCTCCTAGGTCACTTCAAGTCTGATAGAAGAGAAGGAGAAGGAACAATGTACTACACTAACAATTATATCTTTGAAGGAGTATGGAAAAAGGATAAACCGCACAACGGGACTCTAGTTACTCCTGAAAAGGATGAATATATTGGGAAATTTTACAACGTTAAACTTATTGGGAAAGGAAAGTTTATTCACAGCTATGGCAACACAATTGAAGGGATATTCTCAAGAGGAGAATTTCCAAAAACAGGAACCATAACTTTCCAAGATGGAAATATATTTGAAGGCAACTTAAATACCTACCAAATCGGTAAAGAAGGTAAAATGAAATATCTTGATGGTTCCATTTATGAGGGAGAATTTACTAGCCAAAGAAGAGAAGGATTCGGAGTTCTCGTCACACCACAAGGAGATAGATACAAAGGTCAGTGGTCTTATGATACTAAACATGGCAAAGGAATCGAATACATATATGAATTGCAAGAAATTTATGAGGGAGAGTTCAGGAATGGAAAAAGACACGGAAAAGGAACACTTATCACTCCTGATAAGCGGATCAAAGTCTGAAGATGGATAAATGGCATAATTGAAGGATCTCCTAAAAAGTTAAAGGATCTTAGTATGCAGAAATATAAGCAAAAATATACAAAAATATTTAGCTCAGAGAAGCCTAATGTTCCAAAAGTGGTTATTCACTCCTAAACTTTCAATAATTTTGAAATAATTAGGGGTTTTGGGGTTTTGGGGTTTTGGGGTTTTGGGG